AGAGAGAGAGAGAGAGAAGAAAAGAAAAGAAACTGCACACAAAGTGCACGAATATGGTATCATTTTGTTGCTGAAAAAAGAAAAAAAAAAGAAAATATATATCGCTCAATGCCAACAGGTTGCTACAAGCGTTAAGGAATTTTAAGTAACGAAGTTATAATGAACGCTTCCTTAAAAAATTCATCGCCACGGATACTTAGTATGCTGCGCTTCTTTTAAGTGTTACGTTACATGCAATATGATGCAATTGAATCTGTTATAGCCGTAGCGTACTTAAACACAATGTCAATTGGTGATGGAAACGACATTATTATTTATCAAGATAAAGAGATATTTAGAAGAAAATGGCCACGTCGCCAAAAAAGAAAATATTTCCCATTCGTTGGTTCGTTTCGTGGAAAACTCTCCCTTTAAAATTCGAATTCGAACCAAGATTATTCCCTTAATACAAAACATACTCGTCTTCGTTGACGAAGTCGCAATTATAAAAAAAGTTTATTCAACTTTCTTTATATTCAATATCTAAATTATACACTCTCTGAAAACGTGCGAATAGAGAAATATAAATTAACAATTTTGAGAAAAAGATCTTCTATCTCAGCTTCGTATTTTGGGGAAAAGAAAAATGAAGAACCTGATTAAACGTGATTTGACGTGAAAAATTGCGTAACGACGAAGAGAAGAGAAAAAAAGAAAATAGAAGTGTATTTCGGGGAATGACACGATCCCCGGATTCGTAATTGTCGAATGAGAACGTCAAAGCGCAGGACGGGTTGGTCGGCCCATCCCTAGGCATTGTGCCCCTCAAAGCACATTGGGATCCATTGTGCCTGGCGACAATTCGACGCGCACACACCCGGCAGCAGCAGAGCAACAGTGTGCGGTTGCAACGAGCTGACGAGGTCGTTCGGTGTTTAGAAGAGAGCGTGTTGCACACACGCCATGGGCGCAACTATTTGCTAAACGAGCGGTTAAACGACGTCGGACGACGATCGATCAACAAAACGAGCGTTCCTCCACTTGCAAAGTTTTTCGAAGGGGAATCTTCGAATCGAGAATTCCTTCTTCTTCTTCTTCTTCTCTCTCTCTCTCTCTCTATCTTAATTTCGTGAATACACAGGGATAAATCAATTTGATCAAGAAAATAAATAACTCGTTAATTGCAGAAACAATTAACAGGAAAATTAATTTCAAATTAATTCAGCGCAGCCAAAGATAATTAAATGAAATTAAATAGAGATAGTTATCAGATCGGATATCTTGTCTATACAATATTTATTACCTTGGAAACCTTGTCCTTGTTCGCAATGATGATTAAAATCGAAACGATTGTCTTTCGGATTCCTTCGGATGGAAGCGGATTTTTCTGTTAAGAAAAAAAAAAAAAAAAAAAAAAAAAGAAAAGAAAGAGAAAAGAAAAAAGAGAATCCGGGAAATGAGTTGGAAAATCCAACTCGCGTGAAAGGCGATGGTCGGTGTGAAATGGCAATCGTGCAATTGGCAACAACAAGGCTGGAAGAACTTTTAGACCTCTGTTATTTTTAACGCGTTAACTGCTTCAAGAAGCTAACGCGCGCATCTCGCTTGGCCGAGTTTAATAGGCCTCGAAATATGTCGTAGTATCGTGGGCAGGCGCAAGTTCAATAAGCAAGTTTCTTCGATTATTTCTTCTGAGAAAATGTATCGGTTCTTTTTTTTTTTTTTTTTTTCTCGAGACATATTCTACGTTTGCAAGATCTTTCTGCTTCTATTAAATTAGAGTGTGGAAGATTTTTTTTTTTTAGGGGGAACATATTTGTATTGAAAAACAAATCTCTTCGTTTATTTCTTCTTAAGGAAGAAAATTAATCACGAGCATCGCGGTATATTTTTCTCAACTTCAACTTTTTTTATTTATATTTTCGAAAACTTCAAGATCTTAAGTTTTCAAAAAATTTATCAAGATTTATCGAGATTTCGACAATTATTAAAGAGAAAGACCAAACATTCCCTTCTACGGTAGAAAAAAATCTGTCTGCAAAATAAAATACCAGTTCGACCAACGATTGGTTTGTTTTCTCGTTTTCACTTCGAAAAAAAAAAAAAGAAAAAAAAAGGAAAAAGAAAAACACTTGGAAACGTTTTTTCGTTTTCCACGTCAAAGGATATTTAATTCTCGTCTGTCTCGAGGTAGGAGAGAGGAAAAAAGACGAGTGCAGAAACGGAGATGGCAAGCAAGTGGGAAAACGTGGGAGGATGCAAATGTTAATAGCCTTGAGTCGATTCCGTCGCAAGTAGGATAGGTGCATAGGTGGATTCACACGTTCGCATACGTAGCGTGATTCATTCACGCTCCATCTTCGAACCCGTTAACTCGAATCGACGGTTGGTTAATAACTACCAACTTTCGCGACAGTGTGTACGATACGTAAACTTAAATAGAACTGAAACGGGACGAAAATAGAAAATTCAAATACATTCGATGGGGGGATAAACGCTTACACTTCGAGCCTATGAATAAATTATTTATTCCAATAACAATTTTCTGATTTATTCCCAGATATATACCTTCAGACTCGACGCTGAATCTTTTAACACTTTAAAAGCAACGATAGGTATTTCTAATTACGAAAATATTTCACCGTAAACAAACGCTATTTTTGTATAAATAATAATTCTTATCGACGACGGTTTCTCAGGAAATTCCTTCGTTGTTTCGAAGGAATGAAATTTGCAGTATTGGCGAGTTAGTTTTTCCAATTAGGAGGATGTAGAATTTCAAGCAACGAAATTTGATTGGTGAGAATTATCAGAGGATGATTTTGTTCGAACGATAACAAAACGCGGGATAATCCATCGATATCCAATACTTTGAAATTACAATTTAATTTTTGCTCGATTTTCTCAGATCAGAAGATTTTCTCGTATCTCGTACGATTTTTCTCCTACGATTATATCATTAATTTCGAATTAAACGTACCTAAATGTTATCTCAAACTTTTATTTTACATTATTTATCATTATCCTTCCACGAATAGTATCTTACTAGTCTGAACAGTTGCGATCTGAGCCGAGGTTAACAATTTTCCAAAGTCGATGACATATCGAGGAGAAAATATCGAGCTCGTTTAGTTTGGTAAATCCATGTCGGATCGAGTCGAGGAAAAAGATTAAGAGAGAAAGTCTTTACTCGAGTATGATCTAAGCCTGTTGATCACGTCGCGATAATTGCGGATAAAATGTAGGCAACCTGATGTAAGCAACAGGTGGGCGTTTCTACTCCACTTCTATTACTCTCTCCTTTTATCACAAACTCGCCCCACATACCTTCCAGCTTTCCAATTCCGATTTTTCCAAATTTTCCAAAAAAAAAAAAAAAAATACCTCTCTATCTTTTTTTTCTATCGCGCACATTGTTGATCCAACGATAAATATATTCGACAAAAAGTAAAAATTTTAGAAAAAAAAAAAATCCTTGCCATTTTCATTATTCGAATATCGTAAATTCCTCTCCTCGTGATTTATAACAATTTTTTTTTTCTTTTTTTAATTTCTTTTTTCCAAGAAGTTAGAAGAGAGAATTGAACACGGAAAAAAAACGCGGTTTTTTAATATTCATACTTCATTGTTACGTTGTTTTAATGGGAAGATGACGCGGGCACACAAATACGATGCAGTAATTTTAACTCCAAAACGATTTTAAGCCAAGTGGCGAAAAAGAAACACGGCGGAAACCAGTTCTGTGTCTGTCACGTGTCGAAACCTACGTACGTGACTTTGCTCTTCCTTTTTTTTTTTTTTCTTTTTCCTATATTTTTCTCTTTTTTTCTTCTTCTTTTATTACATTTCTTTAAACCGCCACTTGAAACACCACCGTTTCCATCGCACACGTAACAACAATGCGCTTTTTCAGGCGGACATGTCACAACCAGCCTACGCCTAATCAGCTAACTATTACCAACGCAAATAAAGTTATTTCCATCGTAAAACGTGATGTGGAAAATATGCTACAAAATAGGAAGTCCAATAATTGTGTTTCTTTTTTTTTTTTTTTTTTTTCACTCGATCGAGGATAAACACCATTGTCGTTAACGCCATTACATTGATACCACGATATGATAAAATAGAATCGAAAAACAATTCCTTCTACGAATCTTCTAGAAGCAACTTAACAACCATGGAATAATTAAAAATCTACGAAACGAATCTAGAATCGACAAAATTCTAATTCGTAATATATACGTAGAAGAATCTACGAATTCGGAACGTGTAAACGATCCTTAAAACAAGCAACGAGAAATCGAGCGTATTTATCAAAGAAAGCTAACCTACCTACTTGCTAACCTAACCTAACCTAAAAATTTCGTAAAAAAACCTGTTAAACCTAACACGAAGAAACCTAAGACGCGTTAAACTCGTACCATTGACGTAGACGTGGTGCTGCCTCCAGAGGTGCTGGTATTGGCTCCAACGCGAGCTGGTGCTGTCCTCGTGGATGGGCGGAAGTGGCGCGTGCACCTGATGGCCGTGCGAGGTGGGCGGTAACGGTGGTGGCGGTGGTTGTTGGGGTTGTTGCTGGTGCGCAGGCGCGACCACGATGTGAGGATGGGGCGGTTGCACCGGCTGCTGTTGATGCTGTTGATGATGCGCTTGGTGCAGCACGCCCGGTACCGGCGGTGGCGCCAATTGCTGGTACTCCATAGCGCAGCTCATCCGGTTTCCGGTTTCACGCGAGCATTTAACTTACACCTCTTCCCTTCCTCCCTTCCACCAGTCCCAGGGATCGCTAATTCTCTCACTCACTCTCGAAAATCCTTTCTCGCCAAATCCTCTCCCCGGAAACACCTTCCAATTTTTACTCTCGACTTTTGGTGGTTCGAGTTTAGTATTCGAGTTAATAAAATTTCTCGGGGGCTCGATTCGATCGTAGTCCAATTACAGGGAGATAAAGAAAGGAGGCGCACTACCGAGGCTCCTCGATCACTGTCTCGATCTGTCTCAGCATCCGCGCCCGTAATTTTATCCGTCCAGTGTTTCGCCACTTGTCACAGAGTATCCGGGAAGAGAGGGAGAGAATCGGACAGAGGATGAGCCGGATCGATTATTATCGACTCCTCCAGGTTAATTTGATAGAGATCCTTATCCGAGGATCGACACGTTGGATCGCTCGTTCCCGGAATACGTGATCGATCGGACGACATCAAACGAACGAATCCCTTTCCTCCGGGATTGCCTTCATCGAGATTCCCGTCAATTCCTGCGAACGGTCATCGACGGCCACGTGACCGGGTCTCCGTGATTCGTGCTACCCTCTTCCTTCTTCCTCCTCCTCCTCCTCTCTCTCTCTCTCTTTCCCTCTTGAAAAACAAAACTTGAAATCGTTCTCACTCTCAGGTTCGATCGAATGTCGCGCGAACATGCAACAGTGAACAAAAATCGATGATGGAGCCTATCGATCGAAGCACACCGAGATTAAGAATCCTGTCCTCCCGTCCTTCTCCGTTCGCGCGCGTGCGAGTCCCGAAAGAAACATGAATTTTTCACAGACGGATCGAGTTTCGAGGTGAAGAAAAGAAAAAGAAAAGGGGGGAGGCAAAAAAAAAAGAAAAAAACGCGGAGCTTTTTCTCGAACGGATTCGAAACCGAACGTTGGAAAGTTGCGCTCCTCTCTCTCGGATCGGGAGAAGAATAGAAGGCAGCGAGCGGCAAGGCGGCACTGCGGTGTACTACTATCGTAGTCGTGTGTCGACTGTCAAAATCAGCGATCGTCAGCGTCTATCCGTGGCCGGTGTTCGCCCATTGGGCCGTCACCGTAGCCGGAAGCGCGGCTCCGATTGGTTCCCTGGCCGCGTTTCCTAACGGTGGGGGAGAGACGATCACGCGCCTCGACGTCGTCCTGAAACCGGAGTTCCGACTAGGAGAGACAGCACGAGGAAGGGCAGAGTAGAACCATCCAGGGGAAATATATATATATATATTGAGAGAGAGAAAGAGAGAGAGAGAGAGATAGAAGGAGATTCCGACGAGTTGAGAAGAGAAGAGAAAGAGAAAGAGTACACGCGCGAGTACTCTCGTGTAAAATATATATATATATATATATAATAAAAGTATAACGGAAAAGGGGTGAAGAAGAGGAGGTA